CCATCATCATCATCATCATCATCATCATCATCATCATCATCATCATCATCATCATCATCATCATCATCATCATCATCATCATCAATGCCTTTTTCACCCAAAGCCAAGAACAAACACTCTCCACCTATCCCTGTCTTGGGATAGCTTCTGATATTATTCCATGTCTTCCCACTTTTCTGTACACAATTCTTCATGACTCTTCTCCAGGTTCCGCGTGGTCTTCCCCTCGATCTCTTCTTCCCCGATTGATTCCAATCCGCACTTCCTTTGTTATGCAGCTGCTTGGTTTCCTGAGAGTATGTCCAATCTATCGCCACCGCCTTCCTTCTTCCCTGTGCAATTCTGATGTTATTATAACCAGGCACTGAATATTCACGAAGGCGAAGGTTGCTGGCCTGAAAAGATTTTTGGAGTGGGTGCCAGTTTGTTAGGCTTGTCCGATTCTGTCAGCATGGTATCAGGGGAAATAACTCTCAAGATAACCACTTTTGGCGCTTTGAATTTGGGGCCTGTGGGCTAGTTCTTTGCTTTGGTCAAAGTAATGAAACGATGGCACACAAATAAAATATGCATGTTTATAATGTATAGTTGACAAGCATCTAGATTTCGCTTTGATGGTCCTCTCTCATTTCCAATATCGCCTATTGTATAATGGTAAGGCCCTCAGCCCTTGCACGCATATATGGCGAGAGTTCGATTCCTGCATGGGGAAGTAGCTTTTTATTCAATTGTTTAAACCTGTATTTTAACGAGCACTCCTGTTTTTCTACAAGAATGCTGTACTGCACTCAGCACAGGCTGGCCCTGTCACGCAGTGTAAGTCTTAGCAGCCCAAATAGTCTAACTTGTGCCAATGGGGGCGTAAAAACCTACAACCTATATTATGTACTCATCTTCCCCTTCCCGCAGATGTCCGGGAAATTTCGCACCGCATCGGGAAAACCCGGAGAGAAGATCGTCAGTATTGCTCATGAGGAGAGGGCGACCCTCATCATAACTGGCACTCGGGGTCTCGGGAAGTTCCGGAGAACGATTCTGGGTAGCGTCAGCGACTACATCGTCCACCACGCCGTGGTCCCTGTCCTTGTATGCCGACGGAAGACACAACACGAGGATTCCTCCAAATCTTAAGCATAGATCTAGCATAACTGGCCCAATTTCATCTTTTCGGGGTTTTTTTTTAATTTTCTTCCTTTTATAATAACCCAGAAGCCTAAAGCAAATAAATGATACATGTTAAGTGACATTGTCAGTCAATTCAGTCACCAAAGCCATTACTGAGGAGTGAAGTTTAATTTAGTTAAATTAAATACTACGCTGTGCGACGACAAACTGATGGTAATGTTTCTGATAGCTGAAAACAGTACATGTTTTTTATTTATTTGTCGTAATGGGTTTTATTGTGTGCGTATTTATTTTTAAATATTGCAAAGTGTAATTCAGATTAAAGGTAATTTCAGTACAAACGATAAGCCCTGTAATGTTTGATACATATATATATATACAAAACATGCAAGTGACATAGGCTCTCGCTGTATGTAACAATTCCTTGATGTATTCTATGGGTCAGATATCTATGGTGTCATGTCAAAATTGCTGTCGTAGATTGAGTTAGTTGTACGATCCAAATTTTGTTTACAAATTTGAAATATACACACGCCCACACACACACACACACACACACACACACACACACACACACACACACACAAGCGCGCTGTCTTCAATACCCATTATTCAATTTGAGGGAAAAAAAGAGGGGCGGAGTGGGGAAGGGACCCGGAACCAATTCGCCTTATTTCGAAAAAAAAGGAGTGTAGACTATTTAATCCCAATTATTGAGCTTTTCAAAATTTTTGAAAGTCAGGTTCCAACTTAATTCACGAACAACAGCCACAAAAAAAAAAAGAAAAAAAGGAAAGAAAAAAGCCTCCTAGTTTAAAAAAAATTAATCCCTCAATTCTCAACCTCAAAAATTGACATGGATAATAAAAAGCACGTAATTCATTCAAACTGTTCAAGTGAACTCGTACAGACAAGCTATTTCACATGTCCAGGGCCGGGCGCCGTGCGGTGAACGGGTTCAATCAGTGGCTCAGGCAGTCTGGGAGTCAAAGAAAGGCTGTAGTCGCTAGACTGTCTCCGGCCCAGCCTGCTTTGGCCAGGTGATTAGCTAAGCCTTTTGGTCTCCGTAACCCATCATCTCCTACTACGTGTCATTTTGGGTGCACTGGCTAGACGGACATACAATTTTGGTTGTATGTTTTGTGTATCAAGCATCTGCTACTCGGGCCTACCTTTTTATTCTCACCGTTGACGGCTATCACATTTCAACCAGTCACCAAATATCCTCACTGTCCTGGTGAGATGCTTTTCGTTCGTATCCAACTTTATTTCCCCTTCTCAAATTCTTCACCAGAGCCTTAGGGAAAAGAAATATGAATCCGTTTCCTTCAGAAATATTCCACACCCACACACACACACAAATTAACAATTTGTAAATCCCTCAACACAGTAAAGAAATCCAGACTTACGTAAAAACAACGTTATCAAAATATTTTTCTAACGATTCCTCAGCAAGAGTTCTCCTAAGATCAACAAAATGATCTTGTGTACCTTAACTGAGATAGCAACAGTCTGAGATTAGCAAACAAAATCGCAGACAACTTTAGCTAGCCGTAAATAAATCAACCGTGGAGAACGCCATTACTCTAATCCAATCAGCGGCCGGGGAAGTCAGCCACTCGCATCCCATTGGCTGCCCGTGGATTGTTGCTATCGACACCTATGACGCCTTGTCAATTTTAGAGCCGAGACACGTCAATACGAGGCAAAGGCCCTCGTTGATTGTTCCCCCTTTGTGTGTGATCGTCACGGCCGCCGACCCGTCCAGCCTGTCCAAAAGCTCGTCGGTTTTTGCTTTTTGTGTTCAGTAAGTGGACATGTAGCTTGATGTTACACCACCCAAACGT